AAAAGGTCCATTCCAGAGAACTCTTTCTGCCCTGACGCAGCGAGGCATTCCAGGAGTAGAGAAGAAAAGAAGAGGAAGATTTCTAGCCACCCCATTTCCTGCAGAACCATTGGTCGCAGTCTCTTATATCCAGCAATAAAACGGTCGCAGTCTCTTATATCCAGCAATAAAACGGTCGCAGTCTCTTATATCCAGCAATAAAACGGTCGCAGTCTCTTATATCCAGCAATAAAACGGTCGCAGTCTCTTATATCCAGCAATAAAACGGTCGCAGTCTCTTATATCCAGCAATAAAAGGGTCCATAAAAGAACACTTCTTGTCCCTGAATCCTTTTTTACCAGTAATACCCTCGTTCGGATGCAATATTTCGTTATTCTGAAGCCCCACCCTGGCTCTTGCAAGGGGCCGCAATATAGCCCGGCCATAAATATGGTCTAATGGCTGAACGCAGTTTCCGGGACATCTCCACCGGTGATCCTCATCGCTTGTATTATGTCCTAGTGGGGTAAAATGTACTACTATAACCCTGAATATGCTTGTTTTTGTATTGAGAAAAGATATAAAACCCAACGAAAAGCATATATGCAAGCTTCACAATATAACAAATACAAACAAAACGTTAACGTTGCGGCTATTAAGCCTTTATCAGCAGATACAAATGAAACAATACTACACAGAAACACAAAATCACTTAGCTAGTATCTTTAAGCAGCCGGGTCGGTTGTTTCTCAGCAGAATTACTACCCCACTAGGACACCACACAAGCGATAAACACCCGATGACACAAAGTGCCACCTTGTGGATGAGGATCGCCGTGGAGAGGTCCCAGAAACCGCGTTCAAACAATTGGCGTATATTGCGGCCCCTGGCAAAAGCCAGGGTGGGGCTTCAAATAACAAAAATTTCATTCTCAAAAGGACGAAACTGGATTAAATCATGACTCCACGTGTTGGCTGAGGGAATAAATACCCCCTGCTGAGTACCAGGGACCATAACTGGGAGAGGGTGGGGGAGGGGGGGGGGGTTGGAGATAAGACTGTGAGGGCAGTTCAATCCTCTAGGAGTTTAAATTAAACTGTGTTGGCAATTCAGTCCGGAGGGTGTTAAAGTCCCCAGAGTGTAAATAAAGCGATTCTCAAGAGACTTGCGGACTCTGTCGCTGGAATGGCTAGATTTAACGGCTGTCACCTCCGTGTCGTGGACACCTTGGTGACCCTGGGAATTGAAGTGCAACGGTACTGGTTTCAGGGCACCATTTTGCACATCCAAAAGATGTTGTCTGAACCTGTCGGCCAGCCGTAGACCTGTTTCACCAATTTATTTCATGCCACATCAATAAAGTGAAAACTTTATATTCTTCATTTCCTTATCTGCTAGAAGCGGTATCGAATTTCTAAAATATTTGCTCAAATTTTGTCAATGTATCCTACCTATATTCAAATTAGCATTGGGCCGGCTTTCTTTTTTTTTTTTCAAAACATGACCTGGCTGTCAGGTCGACCCAACATGAAATGGGTAGCAGGTAAAGTTCTAGGAAGTAAATGCGGCCGGTGTGATATTGACCACATCACTCATCGAGGGTTAAAATTATGAGTCTGGCCTCATATGCAGAAAGCGGCATTGGTATGCAAAGGGACCTTCACTTTGTTATCCTGTCCATTAAAAAGTAAAAGAACCGTCTGGTAACAAGTCCCAATAAAAGGATTGTTCCGCGTAATTCTCCGTCTCTTGCGTTCTGATATTTTTTAGTTCTTGTCAACAAATGTAATCCTTAGATGTTTCAGGGAATCTCTCCGGTGTCACATATCCTTCTTTTAAAAAAATTATATTTCAATTTCCTTAACGCCAGATTTGTAACACTTTTTCCCCTGAAACTATACAATATTTCATTTATTGATATCATTTTACAGCCGGATCTTACAGTATCATTGGATCTTTGGAATTATTTTTCACCTTTCAAGCTTCCATTATGTGTTTTTTTTTTAAATCACTAAAAAATAGCTCTACTTAGTTTTTGATATTTTGTATCAACATCCTTTGTCAATCCTCCCAATTCCATGTTTTCTAAATTTCTCGTATCTTCCATACATTTGCCACTGATTTGTTCCCCTCCCCTCCTCTTTCCTTTCCACTCCACCCCCAAATATATCTGGAGATATGTTTCTCCATAGAAATAATAATATATTTATCAACTCTTTCACTGATTTAGTCGGCTCTGTGGATAAGTCAATGCGAACGCTTCGTAATGCCACAGTGCCAGGTTCGATCCCAGCTGCGGGCCATGCGCCTAGCGTTTGTTTTGACAGTGGTATCAGGGAGCCGATCGTCCAGAAAGCAATGGCAAACTACTGGACGTAAATTTGCCTAGAGAAACCACACAACAGCCAGGGGCAGCTGGGGTTGGTTCTGCAACGTCCTGTAAAGGATACGCAACTAACCGTTCACTGATTTACTGATTTAAGAATCGACGCAATAGCACACAGAGAGTCGCCGTGGTGTAGTGACTAGACGCTCGCCTGAGGATCGGAAGGTCCTGGGTTTGGGTCCTGACGGAACCGGGTTTTCTTCAAAAAGGACCTTGCTTCCAGGCCGACCCAGCCTTGAGTGACTACCAGGTGCAGTCATCCTTCAGGATTCTCGCCGGTGCTACAGGACCTGAGCACTGTGCTGAGTTTCTTCGGACACAGACTTGAGTCAGAATACCAACGGAGCAACTTATGGGTTACTACCTGTGTGCCATGATGTTGATCCGTTGTTCAAACCTGAAACCTCAAACACCAAATGCCAGCAAGTTAATGTAAAACTTTTCAGCTCATGCATCTTTCACGCGACAACTTAAGGATGTGTGTCAAGGACTCTCCCTCAATCACTGAAGAACCAAAAAATTGTGGTAGACCTCTGCCCCTCCTTCGTCGTTCCATGACTTCTACTATTATTTTTGTTTCCCAGTCCATCATTGCGCTTGATATGGGCAAACAATTTCAGCTTATGAGACAAGATGCTGTTTATTGGCCAATCTTCCTTGATGTTAAAATCTTTTAAAAGGTCAATATTTCTTCTTTTCTTCGTCCATGGTACTATGAAAAATCTTTCTATAGCATTTCAGCTCAAAAATCCATATTTTCTTTCTTACGGACTGGGACTGACTGACTTTCTACCCCACAAGGACATCACACAAGAGATAAACACCCGATGACACAATGTGGATGAAGATCATCCGTGGAGAGGTCACAGAAACCGTGTTCAGCCATTAGACCATATTTATGGGCGGACTATATTGCGGAGCCTGGCAAGAGCCAGGGTGGGGCTTCACAATAACGAAAAATTGCATCCCACAAGCGGATGACTAGCATTGGTTGAGTACAGGGTAACGACTTGTGAAGGACTGGGAAATAATCCACGACTCACACCCGTATGTTGCTACAGGGAAAATGCATGCTTTCAAAATTTTAACTTTGCCCCGGGAAACCGTCCATTCGGCCAGATTAGAAACTGAGAAACAAGTTTAGGTTAAGTGAAGGTAGACAGGTAAACACTAGATTGTGGGGGTAAGAGGTTTTCTTGAGAAAATCTGAACGAAGTTATGTAAACTTTGTGGAGAGAAGGGAGATAGGTAATATAGTTTAAAAAAAAAAAGACTAACCATTAGGTAGGAGACGATTATATGCGTAGGGTGTCCGTGTAGTAACTGACTGAACGCTTGTGAAGTAATGAACGTTAAGTTGACGAAAACCTGGACAACGGAACTGAGCCTTCATTTCGTCTAGTAGCAAGAAATAGGATAAATCTTGAATGCGTTTAGTGATGTGTATGTACACGAGTAATTCCTATGAGTAAATGTCATTTTGGATTTGTGAGTTGCGAAATACTGTTAGGAATGATTGGTAAATACTACAAGTGATCCGATAATTCTGTGACAAGGAAGAGACTGAATATGTTTTGAACTGTTCAGTTTAATAAACATGTGTACATAAATCATGCTCTCGGTGTGTGTACAGTTATGCGCGGGCAGGACACAGGGAATTCCCAGGTCTCTGATTATCTCAATGATCCGAACCACGAGCAACACATTGTGTCTCCAATATTCTATAGAGAGGAAGAGCTTCATCCGTGGTCTTACTTGTCAGTCGTCATGGATGGTGGCTCCCACGCCTCCCTAGTACAACACTATCATCTAAAAAGACAAACAGAAACCGATAACATAGCATATCATAACATTCGTATCATAATCATCACCATCATCACAAACTCTTATGTAGACGTTTATGCATCTCCACAGGTCTCGATCCGTTGTTCGCTGGGTCAGTTCCACCCACGATATCCCTCCATGCTACCGTCGCAGCCCATCTGTCATCATCTCTCTTGGTCTTCCTCTCCCTCTTCTATAATTCATCTTCCCGGTCGTCACAATATTCTCCAACCCCCCCCACCCCCCCCCCCCCCCCCCCCCCCCACCCCTCTTCATGTGACCAAAGAACAGTGCTTGTATTTTCCTTATAGCTGTATATGTTGATCTACTTTCATTAGCTTCCTTCAAGCAATCCTGGTTAGTTACACTCTGGCAGTCCAAGGGATTCTTAACATTCATCTGAGAAACCACATCTCCATTGCCTCCAAGTTCTTTCTAATTTGTTCATTCACGTTCCATAATTCACTACCATACAACAATATAGGTTCTATATGACAGTTGATTACTCTGTTTGGGACATTCAAAGAGAGGGACCTTTGCTCAAGATGTTCTTCGTTCTGTGAAATGCAGGCCTATTCCGAAATAAATTTCTGACACACATCGTCTGTCATACCTGTCATACAGCATACAAAACATCTGATAACAGAACACATTGCGTTTAAAGACGCCACATTTGACAATTTTATTTTCAGGAAAAGTGATTCAATAGGACACCCATACTTTTTTTTTCAAAGAGAAATAAATATTACACGTAGTCATATTAGTGGCTCATAGTCATGTGCTGAACAGTTAAACATTTGATTAACTCTTTTAGATCCACAGTCCGCCACGCTTGGGTGGCTCTGTGTAGATGAAGGCGCAGTATTCTCGAATGGCTGGGTCTCCGGTGCAACAAGGAAGGTAAATTGTGTTAAATTCATCCTCGTGTCTTTTACTGCACTGTAGAAAAAAGTAACAACACATACATTAGATATGAATATTGAATTATGACACCGAGTTAGTACTGTTATACCTCGCGTGGGTCTGGAGCGCGGGTGAGGGGGGGGGGATGGGGTTTTAGACCCACTGTCCCCTAAAAAAGCACGTCGTAGAAGTCGAATACTTACGTATGTTTTCTTTGAAGTTGAAGTTGGTGTTGAACCAACAGTCTGTATACAAATACACCAGATCTGTAATACGGATGTGCACTCAAAACACAAGTTCTAGAACAAGAACAAAGTCTAAAATTAGACCGACAACCAGAACTTCTCGACGGAGTTTACGATCTTTAAATGAAACAAAGAAGAAGAAGAAGAAGAAGAAGAAGAAGAAGAAGAAGAAGAAGAAGAAGAAGAAAAAGAAGAAGAAAAGAAGAAGAAGAAGAAGAAGAAGAAGAAGAAAAAGAAGAAGAAGAAAAAAGAAGAAGAAGAAGAAGAAGAAGAAGAAGAGAAGAAGAAGAAAGAAGAAGAAGAAGAGAAGAAGAAGAAGAAGAAGAAGAAGAAGAAGAAGAAGAAGAAGAAGAAGAAGAAGAAGAAGAAAGAATAAGAAGAAACGAAGAAGAAGAAGAAGAAGAAGAAGAAGAAGAGAAGAAGAAGAAGAAGAAGAAGAGAAGAAGAAGAAGAAGAAGAAGAAGAAGAAGAAGAAGAAGAAGAAGAAGAAGAAGAAGAGAAGAAGAAGAAGAAGAAGAAGAAGAAGAAGAAGAAGAAGAAGACGAAGAAGAAGAATAAGAAGAAGACGAAGAAGAAGAGAAGAAGAAGAAGAAGAAAAGGAAGAAGAAAAAAGTACTTTTATATCGTGCGGACATTGAGTGAGCGACCAAAGCGATTATTAATAAACTACAAATATTCTATGGCTGGTGCTCGACCAGGCAAATAAATGAAACACTGACATCGCTGCACTGGGGTCATTTCCATACCTGCCCTGCCCCCTTCCTCAGCTACTAACGAAAAGTTCTCACACAGATAGAGCCAGGTGCAACGCCAACCCTTTCCTGGTAGAGAATCCTCCAAACCATCTGCTCACTACTAGCCGAACCATTCTCTCCATAGATGTTCTGTTGCATTGTCTACTTGATCAGAACAAAGGGAAACGTTTTTGAGAGAATCACATATGAAGAGTTCTGACAGAGACTCAATCAATGTCCGTGAATCACGAGGCCCTAGGTCTTGATACAAATCAGTACCATTGCAGTTTCTGCATTTTCACTGATGTCAAAACAGGTTCACAGTAAAGCTTATCGATTGGCAAGGGGAAAAGAGGCGACAACAAAGAAGACGGCACAACTGATCACGCAACCATATTTATACACAGTTCAAGACAGGCGTATCAGCCAGCACACGCGGGAAGTTGACATATACCGCAGAACACGTACACTACAACTGCATCAAATATGACACATTAAGGCAAACCTTTTGGTCAGAAAGAACAACAATGGAACATAGACTCTACGGGCGACTGAATGAACTAAAAGTGACAGTAAAATTAATACCGGGACAAAATTGCTAATATAGACTTTTTCAGGCGAACGAAAAAAGAAGAAGAAATTTCATAGTTACTAATACCCCACCTTCCTATCTTGCAGACTGGTAACCGTTTCCGTGAATTATGAGGTAAGCCCTCTTAACATTCTCATAAGCGCTCCGTTCCCATCTTCAGCAGTAAGCGCGGTGTTCCAATTCCTATGGTACCAATAACAGTCTAACTTTATGTCCTTCTCGCCCATTCCATGAGTCTTGAGTGTCAGCCAGATCCCCTAGTCCCTCCTCGCTGCATCATTTTCTTCAGATCGTTATTATCTCCCCCTGATCTCATTATGCAGTTATCTCCCTCTTAAAGAACCCCTGTAATGTCTAGCCTGCCATGCAGCAATTTCCTATTAAACGGTGCAGAACCAGCAAATCTATCTGCCTGTTCATTCAAATACACTCGCATGACCGAGAGAAAATATCCAAGTAACGCTATCTACTGTGTCCGTGAGAATGCAGGATGGCCACCGGGGGATGCCGAGGCTCAGCCAGGGTGAAAATACTGCCCGAGACACACTGCGTTAAAGCTGCTCACATTCTATCAGTATGTTATTTGTCTTGACATTTTCTACCGTCACTGGAAATCATAAAACGCCAGTTATTGCGACACCGTCATTAAGCGAATTCTTAGGATGCATTTAGGGTTGAGGGTCAACATCATGGCACATGAGTTGCTCCGACCCTCTTCTAACTCAAATAGAAGCCCAAAGAAGCTCAGCACAGTGCACAGGTTTTGTAGCACCGGCAAGGATCCTAAAATACTTTGGGTAGATTTTGAACTCATAATTTTTGCCCAGGCAGCGCCGTTAGGCTACTATTTTCGATTTCCAACTGCCAAGGGATTTTTTACGTGCACAACAGGGGGAATTAATAAAAGTCCAAATCCACGTGACAAAAAACCATGTCCTTACCAGCCGGGGAATGAACCCGGAACCTCTTACATTTCAGTTGTTCTCTTCAAAAATCTTCAACTGAGTAATCTTACAGTGTAGGCTGTTTATGTCAACTTGTCAACAATCAGTACTTGTAAGAAATGTTTATCAAACGTAAACATCTGGTTTCCATTTCGCATTATTTGCGGTGTTTTAAAAAACAACATACACCGATTTAAAGCGAACAATCAGCATGCTTACAGTAAACTGAGTACCAGGAAATTTTCAAAATATCAAATTTCACACGTGGCATAGGCGTTTTATTTCCAATATTAGTCTCCCGTGAATTATACGAATATTATGTTTCATTGTATGCGGAATGGGCTATCAAAATAAGTGCGCATCGCTGCACATGTGAACGGATTTCCAGACAATCACCGTGCGTGTATCACTTCCTGTATATTCAATATTTATGGGTAAAGTAGTTGCGTATCTTTTACAGGACGTTACAGAACCAACCCCATCATTGTTTGGCTATTGTGGTTTTTCTAGGCAAGTTCACGTGCAGTATTGGGCCATTGCTTTCCGGACGGTCGGCTTCTCGATACCACTGTTGAAATCATCGCAAGGCGCTAGCCCCGCAGCTGGGATCGAACCCAGCACCCCGGCATTACGAAGCGCGTTCGCAACGCCTAGGCCACAGACACTTAAATTATTAGTCAAGCAGGGATTACAGAAATCGACCGCTCTAAGTAAACAGCAGCAAATGCGCAATTGTACATTATAAAATCATAAGGGCATAAGAAATCTAAGGTGTCATGCAAAATTCATACAACTGTTTTCGAGATATTTATTAGAGTGGGGACACAACTGTTGAAACGTATCATAATCATATCACCCAGAAATACATACCAGGTAGCACATGTGGGAAACCCTGGCAATGGTGTCGCATTCTGTGACTTCGTCACGGCCCAGAAGTGCTTTAGTGTTGGCTGCTGAAGTCAAGGTCGTGGAGACGAGGGCGACAACAAGAACAGCGAGCGTTACTTGGATACACTGATGCAGCATCTGAGAATCGATATTCAAAACATTATAATTTTGCTCACATACATTTTGAATATATATATATATATATATATATATATATATATATATATATATATATATATATATATATATATATATATATATATATGTGTGTGTGTGTGTGTGTGTGGATAAACAAACGTTAGTCTCTCCAAACAAAGTAGGTCACGTTCCATTCATAAGTTAGTTGGGCGGGTCTATCTTTCTGTAGGTTACAGGTGTGCCGCTTTGTTGTTTGCTTTCTGGGCTGTCCTGCATTGAAGTTTTTATTCTGAGAAAGAGAATGCCTGTGACAAAGGTTTGATCATTCTCTAAAGGGGTGTCGTGTTAGACCCAGTTTGTCGATGTTTTTGGAGTGTTAGAAGGCGATATCCACGACATCGCGGTAAAAACATGTAACCTTGTGGCAAGGTAAAGTGGCTCAAGGTCGACCAATTAGAAGTGAACTAGTGTGTAATACTGTAAATGGGGAGACTAACGTTTGTTTTACCTATATATATATATATATATATATATATATATATATATATATATATATATATATATATATATATATATATAATAATATATATATATAGATAGATAGATAGATAGTCACACACACACACATACACACACACACACACACACACATACACACACAACACTCACAACACACACAAACACAACAGAACACAGCAAGGGTCCCATAAATGTCCATACTTGGTATACAAAGAAGATCCGCAACACCATTACAAGCATAGGTAGGTAGGTAGGTAGGCAGGTAGGTAGGTAGGCAGGTGCTTTGGTGGACAGAAAAATCGGCACGTTCAACCAGCATCCCCGAAGGGGGTGATTTAGGTTATAAATGTGACTAGGTTATGTGCGCCATACAAAATGGTTTAGCACTGCACACCACTAAGAGCCCTGAAAGTGGTTCCAGCAGATTTGATGCGATCAAAGGAGAGATAGCTAAATACTGTCCCAACCAGCGACGAAGTCATCTAACGGCGAGCCAGTGGGCGAGCGAACAGGTGACCCGGTCGCATTGGAGTCACAAGTAGGCAGACCTGGAGTTCTGTTTCTTGCAAAGACGTTGTTCCATCGGCCATTGATGATAATGTTATCACCAGTCATTGATAATCACTGTACCATCAGGCACTGGTGATCACTATACCATCAGGCACTGGTGATCACTATACCATCAGGCACTGGTGATCACTATACCATCAGGCACTGGTGATCACTATACTATCAGATACTAGGGATCACTATACAATCAGGCACTAATGTTCACTATACAATCACATACTGGTGATCACTATACCATCAGATACTGGTGATCACTATACCATCAGATACTGGTGATCACTATACCATCAGATACTGGTGATCACTATACCATCAGATACTGGTGATCACTATACCATCAGATACTGGTGATCACTATACCATCAGATACTGGTGATCACTATACCATCAGATACTGGTGATCACTATACCACCAGATACTGGTGATCACTATACTTTCAGATACTAGGGATCACTATAGAATCACATACTGGTGATCACTATACCATCACATACTGGTGATCACTATACCATCAGGCACTGGTGATCACTATACTATCAGATACTAGGGATCACTATAGAATCAGGCACTAATGTTCACTATACAATCACATACTGGTCATCACTATACCATCAGATACTGGGGATCACTATACAATCGGCATTGATGATCACTATACGGTTAGACATTGATGATCACTATACGGTTAGACATTGATGATCACTATACCATCAGATACTGGGAATTACTATACCATCAGCAACTGGTGATCACTATACAATCGGCATTGATGATCACTATACCATTAGACATTGATGTTTACTATACCATCAGACATTAGTGATCACTATACCATCAGACATTATTGATTACTATACCATCAGACATTGATGTTTACTATACCATCAGTCACTAGTGATCACTATACCATCAGGGATTGATGATCACTATACCATCAGACATTGATGATCACTATACCATCAGACATTGATGATCACTATACCACCAGGCATTGAAGATCACTATACCATCAGACATTGATGATCACTATACCATCAGGCACTGGTGATCACTATATTGTCAGACATTGATGATCATTATACCACCAGGCATTGAAGATCGCTATACCATCAGGCATCAATGATCACTATGTCATCAGGCAAGGTGCCATTAGGGCTCTCAGATGGAATTACTGCGTTTCATAATAAATGTTGATTACAATGTATCGACTACTGCCAACATACAGTGTCATAGATGTCTGATCATACAGTGTTAACAAAGTGCACGAATAGGTGAATTTTACTCCTGAAAGTTATATCAGCCACAACTTGTATTGATGGTGCGTGACTGATACACATGGATACACAGCCCATGGCATGCTCGAGTGCAGGGCATTAAACAAACACGTTTTTGCTGCTATGCAAGTGACCTTTGAGGGTCACTGACAATAGAAAAGTCGGATGATCTAAAGAGTGTGAGCGGATGTGTGTCGGCATCTGTGGTGTAGGCGTTACGATGGCAGTTCGTAATTACCAGGTGCCGGGTTCGATCCCCGCTGCAGGTGATTTGGTCGCAGCCGACCGCCTATCGTTTTTTTCAAAAGTGGTATCTAGAGCGGTCCGTTTAACAGCAATAAGAAACTACCCAACTTAAAATCAGATAGTAAAATCATACCCCTCACCACCTCCAGTTCCCTCCCCCCTCCTCTCCACACACAACATTTGCTTAGATTTGGTTCTACAACGTCCTGTAAACTAACCCCCCCCCCCCCCACTTTTTTTCTCTTCTTCCCCCACCCCCATACTGATAGCGTCAGTTATCCTTGCTCGTACTGGATCCGTGATTTGTGATCCTTATGGGTTTCCTAATGGTAACGTCTATCTACGTTGAACAGGGTATCTTGGATTTGAGCTGTGCGTCAGCCATCCAGAACAGCGGATTGAGATTTTGCTACTACCACCATCCCCACCACCACCACCACTTCAACTACTACTAAAGTAAAAGTACTACTAAAGAACCCTTTCACGTCTTTAGGCGTTTCGGGCATATAGGGCTAGACCTATATGTTATAGACCAATCGGCACTTGGTGGGGGATGTGGTCACCATCACACCGGCTGCCATGTCTTCCCAGGACTTTACCTCGTACCCATTTAAGGCTAGGTCGACCTCGAAACCAAGGTTATTTTTTTAAAGAAATTCTGCTTCATTAGGAGCGCAACCCATGACCTTTCTATCTGCAGGCGAGCGTCTAGTCCCGACACCACGTTCACAACTATAAACTCCAGCGGAAATGTATGGTTGTTCGCCCACTTATGGGCTTTGCTTATACCTTTAGTTTTGAATGCACCCTGTTTTACAGATCTGGCTTATTTGTATGCAAACTGTTGATTCCTTACCTCTCAGGCAGATGCACTTCGACTTTAAAGGAAAACACCCCTAATTAATCGCCTCCTACGACATGCTTGTTAGGGGAACAGTAATGGTAGGAAAGTTAGTGGAGGAGAGGCTGCTGTGGAAGTCATAGAGAACAGATGCGAAACAGTTTGACATCAAGGCATAGGAGATCATCCATGTCAGAGTTGACTGAAAGTACACGAGACAAAAGGTTGTGGATAGACATGACTACCAACGCCACACAGCATTGACTTTATAAGAAGAAAACGATAATGTTGGTACCACAAATACCAATACAGTAAAGTTTAATAAAAATTAAAACACACTATATAGAAATACATTGATAAGAAAATATGTGATTCTTACCTTGATTGGTTTTGCTTTTGAAGATTCTTGCGGTTCCTGGAAAACTAACAAGACAACGATGTGCAGTTAGTTGTTCAACTGTGAGTCTTTACATGCGATTCCTGCTCTTTTATAGCAAGCAGCTCGGATGCGGAGATAAATTTGTCGGGGAATTGTTTAACCGCCCGCAGGAGTTCCACACTGTAAGATACATAAATGTTCCACTGCTTGGTTGTAAATATGGTTCCTTATTTCCGGAGGGCAAAATATGACTGGTAATTATTTTCCTTAAACAAACAAAGCTAGTCGGTGTGGTCAGAAAAGTAAATCGATCGTTGGTAGCGAGGACAGCGGGCATAAATCTGTGGAAATGGTAGGTGGCGCGGTTAAATACCTCCCTCAGTTTCAACCTTGGAACGAAACAACTGCCCAGAAACCGGACGAAACCAGCCATGCATTTAACTAGTGGAACCAAACAGGACACATTCGATGGCGCGTAGAGATAAACATCTGAATGTTTTAAGTAGCGTCAGGTTTTATTTCCCCCAATAAGGGTCCGGGAGTCGCCGTGGCAGAGCGGCTAGACGCGGATCGGAAGGTCGTGGGTTCGCTCCCTGGCGGAGCTGGACTTCTCCTCAAAAATGACTTTGGCTCCCAGGTCGACCCAGCCTTGAGTGGGTACCGGGTGCAGTCCCGGGAAGTAAAGGCGACCGGCGTGATGCTGACTACATCACCCATCTTGTGCAGTTGGTCTATAAAATATAGGTCTAGCCCTATATGTCTAAAGGCGTGGAAAAGGGTCCTTTAAAAAAAGTTCCCTTTTCAGGCCTTTCGGCGCATCGGGCATATGGGCAGAGCGTCCCATATTTTTACAGACCATCAGCACTCTGTGGGTAATGTGGTCAGCATTACGCCGGCTGTCTTTACTTTCCCAGGACAGCCCATCCTGGTACCCATTTTAGGCTGGGTCGACCTGCGACGTCCCATATCCAACAAAACTATAAAGGGTTTTATTTGAAAGTAAAGAAACATGTTAATGCAATTCTTGAAAGAGAACGTCTTTAAACAGTTAATCTTAACTCTTTGAGTCCCAGGGGGTTAATATCACAGGCCCAGGGGGGTAGTAAATAAAGTAGTAGAATCGGTGCATCTTGCGTTTGTTGGGCTTCTAGGTAGGAACCTATGAACATG